CCCCCCCCCCCCCACACGCACTCGACACGTACAGCCTCCTCGGCAGTGACAGCCAGGACAAGGACAAGGGCAAGTGCCAGAGCACCGGACACAGAAGGGGATAGCTTCATGAATGCAGATAAGGTAGCCGTGGCCAGTGGTCACGAGGGAAAGAAAGTGATGTGTGCGGCCGACTGAGGTCATACCTTGTCGTATGCAGCAGAATGATCTGGAGGACCAGCAGAGTGATCAGGAGCAGCAGCAGAGTGATCAGGAGCAGCAGCAGAGTGATCTGGAGCAGCAGAAGAGCAGAGTGATCTGGAGAGCACCAGCAGAGTGATCTGGGGAGCAGCAGCAGAGTGATCAGGAGCAGCAGCAGAGTGATCAGGAGCAGCAGCAGAGTGATCTGGGGAGCAGCAGCAGAGTGATCAGGAGCAGCAGCAGAGTGATCAGGAGCAGCAGCAGAGTGATCTGGGGAGCAGCAGCAGAATGATCTGGAGGACGAGCAGAGTGATCAGGAGCAGCAGCAGAGTGATCAGGAGCAGCAGCAGAGTGATCTGGAGCAGCAGCAGAGTGATCAGGAGCAGCAGAAGAGCAGAGTGATCTGGAGAGCACCAGCAGAATGATCGTCACCAGCAGTTTCATCACATGCAGCATCACCACATGCAGGATCATCATATGCAGCAGCGACAGCAAGTAGTAGTGAGCAGTAAAGTGATGTTGATGATGGTAGTGAGGGTGGAGGTGGGGGTGACATACTCCCCCATGCGCCCGACCCGATCGTACCATACGCCCCCCGACACGCCTGACAGCCGCCGACAGTCCCCCGAGACGGCCGAGACGGCTCGAGACGGCCCACAGTTGCCTGTCGCAGCCGCAGCCCCACGTCACCCTCGCCCACTCAATCTTCTTCTCTATGGCGCTCGACGACCACGGCTCGTCATCGTCGTCAGGAACGCCCGCATCTCCACACGGCTCGCCGTCTCTGGTGGGCGAGAGGCCACTCCTGGACAGGAGCGAGTCGACGGCCTCGGCCTTGGCCTGGGCCCGTCCGCCGCAATGGGACTCGACGTCGGCGCTGGCGCCGCTCAAGGGCGGGTATCTAGTCAAGCAGGGTGAGCGGTACAAGTCGTGGAAGCGCCGCTGGTTTGAGCTCTATCCTTCGCTGCTGGCTTACTTCAAGACTGAGCCTGAGACCTCGCCCAAGGGCGTCATCCCGCTCCGTGGCCGCTACATTGTCGCCATCTCGCCGGAGGACTCGGGTCGTGACCGCTGCTTTGCACTCTCACATCCGTCCGAGCGCACGTACTACATCCAGGCCTCGTCCGCTGACGAGCTGGCCTCGTGGATGCTTGCCATCAACGCCGCCATCGAGGCTCTCGGTCCGACGCAGCCTCATGGTCCCGCCTCACCTCGGTTGAACGTTGCTGACAAGTCCTATGTGCCAGGCTCGATCCGTCTCCACGGTGGGAGCGAGCTGCCAACATGATGGCTATGCAGGCCCTGTCATTGTTCCCGTCCTTTACCGCGTCACGCCGATCATGGCATCGCGGGTAACCGCGCCCAGCAGCGCCTCGCGACTCCAGCCCTCGGTCCCCTCCGGCCGCAGCGGCAGGACCATGTACCGCAGGTCTGCCGTCGAGTCGTGGACCTTGACTGCCACCTCGTCCGGGATGCGTGTTCCAAACTCGGCGAGTAGTGCCCGCGGCTCGCGCACTGCGCGTGCCCGATACGTCCGCGACTTGTACCAGGCGGGCGAGAGCCCGAGGAGCGTGGTCGGGTAGCACGAGCAGAGGGTGCAGACCACAAGATTGTGGACCATCTCGGTGTTTTCCACCACCCGCAGAACCGTCGCCCCGGTCGCCTTGCCATAGTTGGAAGTTTCGATGCCGATGGCCTCAGCCGCCGCCGGCGCATCGGCCACAAGCAGCTCTCTAAACTGATCGTCAAGCCATGCCTCCACCACCAGTCGGGCGCCCACTTCGCTTCCACTCTCACTCATCTTCTCCACGCTCTCGATCTTGGCCCGCACCTCGTCGCGGCTGACCAGCCCGCTGTCCACCAGCGCCTCCACCAGTGCCCCCGACAACCGTTGCAGCGGCGAGTTACCTTCGCCGAGCGCGTGCTCGCTCTCGGCCGCAATCGCGTTACTCTCGACCACGCATCGCTCCTCGTGGACATGATCGTGGTCGTGGTCGTGGTCGTGGGCGTGGGCGTGGTCGTGGGCGTGGTCGTGATGGCTGCGGCCACTGCCATGCACCTTGTTCATCGACGCCACCGCTGCCGCCTCTGCCGTAGCCAGTGCCTCGGATGAAATTGGTTCAAGCCACGGGTGATAGACCTCAACCGACGTCGCGTCATGAGGCGAGCCATCGTACAGCTCCCAGAGAACAGCCTGCAGGAACCGGACCGAATACAGCGGCAGCTTCGGGCCTTCGATCCGCCGAGCGAGAAGCTCCGGATCCGGAAACTCACCCCAGTACTCATCGACGACGCCAACGGCGCCGTGAAGGTATCCAGGCGTCCGCAGGTGCGGCCGCGACCATGCAGGGCGCGGCTCTTCGCGCCGGACCCGGACCGGCTGGCCGACGCTCAGCGGGACCGGCGCCGAGTCAATCTCATCGCCGCGCACAACATCGCCGTTGATGGCAGTCTCCAACACCGTCGGCGAAAGAGTTCCGCGAGCCGTCAGCGCCTGGGCCATGGAGAAGGCCCACTTCTCATAGTACGACAGACCGCCGTAAGCCACCGGATCAAGGCCCTCGATGCCTGCCCGCAACTCGTCTACAGTCATCAGGCCCTTGCCCACCACCAGACCGAGAAGCGCATGCGTCCGGACCTCCCACAGTGCCGCCGGCGCACCCTCCTTGCCCAGCTCAGCCTTGAACGCCGTAGCCTCGTCCGGCGACACAATCGCCCCGCCAACGTCATGTGGTCCACGACCAAAGCCCGACGCTGCCCGACGTCCCGGAGCAGCCGCAGCAGTCAAAGCAGCCGAAGCAGCCAAAGCAGCACACGCAGCACGACTCGCCACCGTCGCCATCGTCGTATACCGCAGCACCGCAAACATATCCTCCCCAATGCCGTGACGAGTCTGCCCCCCCTCCCCTCCCCTCCCCTCCCCTCCCCCTGTCACGCCGTGTGGCCGCCACGCTTGCCATGTCCGCCGCAAACCCAGCAGATCAGGTAGCCGAGCCGGGCCATGGATGAGAGAGGGAGCTACTCAAAAGGGGCGATCTGCTCGATCGACCCCACATTCGTCCACAGCTATGCTCTGCCAACAAGTATCTGATTCCACCCTCTCGCACAACCAACACCCCCTCTCCTGCTCCTGCTTCCATCATCACCATCCCCCCCCCCTCCCCCCCCTCCCTCCCCCCCCCCTCCTGCCGACTGCCGGCTGCTCAACCACGACCCGGACGGACAGGGTCCTCAACAGAAGGAGACAGAGGACGGGAGAGTAGAGACGGACGAGTACTTGTCTCGCCAGACAACGTCACTGCCGGTTGGTGACCTTCTTCCGTACTGGTGTGATGATGGCGCGTTGGGCAGTCCTGGCGTGGGCGGGTGCGGCGGCGGCTGGGGTGGGTGGCTCGGCCCATGTGTATGAGAGATGGCGACGACGAGAGGAGGCCAAGCACTGGCCGTTTGTGGTGGGCGAGGTGACGGGCGTGGAGTATCTTGATGCGCTGACTGTTCATGTCAACTCGGCTCGCTCGTGGATCGGCATGGATGAGTGGATCCGGGTCGAGTACGAGTACGTCGTCGATGGTGCACGCTTCACCTCGCATCAGGTCCAGATCCAGCCGTTGCCGGGCCCATGGCTGGAGGCGACGCAGGCCAAGTTCTTCTCCGGCTACGAGGTCAATGTCTACTGCGATCCTGCCAACGTCGCCGACTCGGTCCTGCTCACCGTCCCGCGCGACTCGTTTGCCTCTCGCGCAGCCTTTGTGCTCCCGCCAGCCGTCGCTGCCGTCGCCTCGCTGCGTCTCTTCTGGATGCTGTTGTAGCGTACCGCTGATGGTAGCGATCGCAGCTTGCAGCTTGCTGGTGCCTGATTGTAGGTTGCTAGCGCTTAATCGCAGGCTTTTTGAGCTTGATCGGAGCTCGCTAGTGCGTGATTGTAGGTTGCTGGCGCTTAATCGCAGACTGTTTGAGCTTGATCGGAGCTCGCTAGTGCGTGATTGCAGCTTTGCAGCTCGCTAGCGCTCACCCGCCCATGCAGCCCACCCTTAGCTCGCCTGCACGTTTACACCTCCTCCACCTCATCCATTCCCACAACACGCTTCGGCGCCTCCAACACATCAAATCCTCCATCCACAACCTCGGCCATGAGGTTCGCGATTGTGCCCTGAAACACGCCTTCCAGCAGCTCGTCCATTCCCACAACCCTGACAACCGATGCTCGGCTCAGAACCGCCTCCCGGACAACCTCCTCATCGTCCTTGACGTCGGCAGCCTCCTCGCCGCCGCCAAATCCGGCCCGTTCACCGTCGCCCCGCGACACAACCTCGCTAGCAACCTCGCGGTGGAACGAGGCAAACCGCGAGAGGACCGGCTGCTCGCTCTCGCCGCTCTCGCTTGCGATGCTGCTGACACTCGTGCTCTCGCTGCGTCCTCGCCCACTCCGCACCACAGAGAGCGGGACTTGCGGCGTGAGCTGTGCAAAGAGCGGGATCGGCGCTCGCTCCACGGCCTCGATCGTCTCCTGAATGTCCGGGTCAAAGATGATGTCCTGCAGAATATCCGAGAGCACAGACTTGACCACCGTCTTGTTCTCCTCCTCCGACGGCGTCTGCTGGATGCGCTTGATGAGCGAGACCGTCGCTGCTGGCATCTCGTGCTTCTCCGCCTCAGTCCGCCATGTCTCGCGCTTGGTCTGCCGCGGCACGAAAAACGTTTCAAAGTCGGCGTACGTCTCCTTGTACACTTCGACCGGGAACGACGCCGCCGAGATGTGGAGCCACACCGAGTGCGACCTCACATGCTCCACACGTCCGCTCCCGCTTCCGACCCCGATCCGTCCATCGAGCCGAGAGCCGCCGGCCTCGAGCAGCGGATCGCTCCCGTCGACCTTGCCGAGCTTCACCGCCCGCCGCAGCCCGATTGCAGCTCGCCCACGTGCCAGTGACGACCCAGCCAGCGTTCGCACTGATGCCACCGACCCAGGCCTTCCCAGGCCGTGCCCACGCACGTCTCCCTGCCGCGACACCAGTGACCGTCGCGACCGGCGAGGCGCACTGTCAAGCGCCCCGCGCCTTCCTGCAGCCACCGCGCGCCCGGTAAACCGCGCAGGATCTGAGTTGTCCACTGCAAACACCTCTTCGGCCTCTACATGCACCTCGACAGCCCGCGCGCCCTCGCTGCACTCGCCGTCAAGCACCTTGAGCCGGCACTCGATATCGAGCTCGTAGATCTCCGGTTGCTGCATCGGGCGGAACACCACCGAGCACGTCACCATGCCGCCAGCCTCGATCTCACCACTCGACGGCTCTACCGCCACCAGCTCGTACCCGTAGACTTGGGCAGGGAGGCTGAGCCACTCAAACGCAACCCGCCGCTCCGCGCTCGGATTGGCCACGCCAACCAGGCACCGGTTGATCGAGTGAAGTGGAAGCGCGCCAAACCACACTCGCTCGAGGGTGAGGTACCCGACAACGTTGATTCGTCCGTCGGGCAGCGTCGGCGCGAGACCGAGCGAGGGCGCCGCAGGCGCGGTCGACGGCGGCGCGGTCGTCCACGGCAGAACGTCGTGCAGTGACGGGTGGTACCCGACGCCGTAGAACACAATCTGCTGCCGGACCACAATCCCGTCGTCGTTCCTCATCGCAACTGTGAGCGGGAACGCATACTCGCGTGCCTCGAGTGGAGCAAACACAAACCGCACCATGCCGCTGCCGCGAGGCTCGATCCGCCCGCTACGCATCAGCGGCACGAGCACGTCCACATCGTAGTTTTCCGCCCTGAAGGCCGCAAGCGCGGCGTCGACGTTCTCAAGCTCCCACGCCACTTCAGTCCCAGCATCGTTGTGGAGCACGTAGCTCTGCACAAACGGCTCTTCCACCCCGATCGGCACGGGCTCAAAAAAGTGGCCGCGCGTCCCAAAGTGGAGCGTTGGTCCCGGAGGCGGCGCGTGCGTCACGCCCTGTAGCGCAAGCGTCACCTGCTTTCCGCGCTCCAGCGCAAGCACCACATCGATGCCATGCTCGCCGGGCACAAGGTGGTGGTACGTCAGCTCCACGTTGATTGCCCCATCCGCCGCAACATGCCCACTCTTGGGATAGAACGAGAAGAGCTTGTTGGCGCGCAGCAGCTCCTCGTCGAGATCGTACTCGGAGAGGCCCTGGATGTCACACCACTCGAGGTCCGACGGGTAGAGAAACTCAAACTTGACGCTTGTTGAGCCGCGGTTGACAAACCGGAGCCGCACCACGCTCGCCCCGCTGCCGGCAACCCCGGATCCGAGGTCGAGGTCAAACGTTGGAAGCGTCGAGACGAGCCCGGCATACATCGGCGCCTCGACAATGTTCTCGCGTGTCGCCGCAAACACCTCCTCCGCCCGCGACAAGTTCATGGCAAGCTCGATATTGAGCAGGTCGAGCGAGAGCCGCCGCCACCACACCGCCTTGCCCGGGCTCCGCCCCACAAAGCAGTCGGCAACCGCGAGCGACGGCAGCTCGCCGACGCCAGTCACGTCCGCCATCAGCAGCGGCTGCCCCGCCGCGCCGAGCCCACCGCGAAGGTACTTTTCGAACGCCGCGTCCGGCCCCACACCCGCGCTCAGCTTGTCCACATTCGACTCGTGCGGCAGGACCATACAGTACACACCGTACGCGTAGTACGCGCGCGCTCGCGGCGCAAACGTCACTCCCACGCTTGCAGACGACCGCGACGGGACCACCACAAACTCGGCAGAGAGCTGGATGACCTCGAGCGTCTCATTGGTCGAGCTTCCGCTTAGGCTCCTGGTCTGTCCTCCCGGCATGCTTGTGCCCGACTCGGAGACTGCTGCCGCGTACACGTACAGACCCACGTCGGCCTCGCCACGGTTGAACACACGGATCTCCCCAGACGAAGGCTCGTGGACGGGCGAGTTGCCAAAGTCGAGCGACCGCGGGAAGAAATCGAGCGCCGCACTCGTTCCGGCTCCATACAGCTTGAGCGAGTGCTCACGCCATCCACTTTGGTCATCCGTCCCAGGCGCAGGCACTGCCGGCAGCTCAAACTCGCGCCCGGCATATGCCCCATCCGCAGCAAGCGTCATCACAAAGCAGCTCGCCTTCATGTGAAACTTGGCCTCCGAGTTGGGCGTAAAGGTAAACGCAACACGCGCCTCAGACCCACCGGAGAGCACTCCGCTGGGAGGACTCACCTTGAGCACCTCGGCGTATCGCGACGGCACCACCCACTGAAATGCGAGTGGAAGCGTGCCCGGATTGGTCACCTCAAAGTACCGGACTGTCGACGAGCCAATATGTGTTGGCTTAAAGTACAGCGAAGCCTCGCCGTTCCGGGAACTCTCGAGCACGACCCGCGGCGCGTCACATACCCCGGCGAGCGCTACTTCGAGCGCGTTAGCGCTTGAGTTGTTGATCATAATCGCCATGGTCGCTTCCACCAGCCCGGCCTCATCGGGAAGGTAGCCGACGCTCAGAATCCGCGACTCGCCGCCGTCCACAATTCCCGTTCGCGGAAAGACGTCGATGACCTCGCCTCCCGCCACCGGCCCGACGTCAAACTTGAGCGGCATGCTGCCGGTGTTGACTACCGAGACCGTGGTGTATGCCGCCTCGCCCACCACGCACGGCTTAAAGTGTACGCCTTCTTCGGCAGGCACCACCGCAACCTGTGGCATAAACTTCTCTGCCCCGCCCTCGTACGAGTGCCCAAGCAGCGGGACCACAAGGTACGACGGCGGGACAACCGTCGCGTCGCTGACAAGCCGAAAGTTGCGCATCGACTTGTAGTGCACAAAAAGCTCCACGCTTGTTCCGTAGAATCGGTCACGGTGCCGCGGCGCAAAGGTGACGCTAAACGTCACGCTTCCACCCGGCCCCACGTCAGCCTCGCACACAGACAGCGAGAAGGCGTCTGCGCCTGCAGAGCCGCCGGTGACGCGCGCGTGGACCGTCATCTTGCCCCGCGTCGGATTCCGCACCGAGAACCCGCGCATGGACGCGCTCGGCATTGCGCTTAGGCGATCCCTGCCGCGACCTCCCCGCATCACCGCCGGCACCGCGCCAAAGTCGAGCGACGACGGCGCGACGGTGACCAGCGGCGCAAAGACGCCGGGCGGGAGGGTGTGCGGGGAGGCGAGGCCGAGCGCGTGCGTGTACGGAACCCATGGGTCTTGGACTGCGGCGCTCGCCGCTTCGTCGCCGACCGACTCGGCCACCGCACTCAGCGAGAGGTTATCAAGCGAGAGCAGCACGTTGCCGGCCACTGGGTCGCTCTCGGTGAGCCCCCGCATGGCATCTTCCAGCGCCTCAGGCGGAAGCTGCCCGAGTCCGAGCAGCGCGCGCTTCCGCGCCCTCGCCACATGCACTAGCCCCATGTCGGGCGGCCTGCGCCCGTCCGCGTATCCGGTCCCCACCACATCGACGTAAGCAGGCACGCCAGACGCAACAACAAACGCCACACGCCGCGCATAGTTCATCGGCTCGTGAGGACAGAACTCGACCTGCACTTTGGCTTCCGAGTACGGCTCGAGCGCTAGCGACGTCGTCGAGAACTGAAACACTCCGCTTGTCGCACTCTCGATGGCCACGTTGGCCACCACCGGCGAGGTGTTAGCCACCGTCACCACCCGAACCGCCCGCCCGCCGACTGTCAGCGCCCCAAACGCCAGACCACTCTTGTCGAGCCGGATCGACGGCGCCGCGCCGCGCCCCGACACCATCACCGCAGGCGCATTGCCGCCGGGCGTCTCAAAGAAGAATTTGGACGTCGAGTCGAGACCCGCCGCTTGCGGCTTGTATGCCACCTGCACGTTGATCGACGAGTGTGCGGCGACGCTACCACGCGACGGGCTGATGGAGAACGGCAGGTCACTCCCGGCTGTGGCGTGCGTGACACGGAACTGCGTCTGCACTTCGGACACGTTTGAGAGCGTCAGCACCCGCGTTGCCGTCCGCGACAGGTACACGTCGCCAAACTCGACATGCGGTTCTGAAACGGCCAGAAATGCGTATTTGCCTGTCGCATGCAGGGTAGTGTAGACCGAAGTGAGCCTCTCGTCGCCGCTGGCTCCGTCGGGAACCGCATCGATCGAGAGGGTCGCCTCAAACGGCGCAGCCTCGCCGGGCGAGAACACCACTTCGAGCACCACGCCGGAGTGCGGGGCAAGGGCTCCGATCCGCGGAGTGACCGAAAACGGTGGCGGAACGTAGGCCTCAAACGTGGCTGGAACCTCCGAGTCGTTCTTCAGCGTCAACTTGGCGCTCACGGCCTCCTTGACGCTGCAGAAGCCAAGGTCAACCACTCTCGGAGCGGTCAGAGCCAGATGCGGCAGTACGGCAGTTACGGGAATGCCGAACCGCCCGCCACGCCGACTCCCTGTCGGTCGGACCTCGAGCATGACCACATCCTCGTACTCTGCGAGCTCCACCGGTCGGAAGGCGATGGGGAGCGAGACGGCAATGCCTGGCGAGAGCTGAAACGACTCGGGAAAGGCCATCGAAAAGTACTTTGTGGCCGGCAGCGTGTACCGAAGATGCACCACGTCCGTCGTCACATTGCGGATAGTCAAGAGCTTGGTATACTCGCCTCCGACCTCCCTGCGCAGTGTTGCATGACCAGTGAGTGTGTGTGGGGGGAGGGATGTGTGTGGAGGGGGGGGGGGACGTGGGGGGGGGGGGGGACCGTACCATTCGGACCACACCAGCGACGACACCGTGTCCAGGCCGTACGTCTCCAACCGTTGCTGCCGCGTGGGTATGGGCAGAGGTGGGGACGACATTGCCTCGTGAAGAGAAGAGCTGTGGTAGCCTCTCCTTCTCTTCGTCGTGGCAGTGAAGTGCTGTTGGCCTTGGCCTTTACCCCGAGCTGGTCGGTCGAGCCGGTGCCGGTGGCGCCAACCGCCGCTTTGATCGTCTTGGTCGTGATCGTGATCGCGATCGTGATCGCCCTCTTGTGGGTCGGGGGGTAGGAGAGGGGGAGGGATTGAGGGACAAAGGACGGCAAGCTTATTGACGCAAAGTCAAAGCGATGTTTTTGGAAGAGGACGAGAGTGGTGAGGCTGGATGCACGGATGATGGGCTATGCTGTGGGATCAGATGCTTTCTGGGCTGAGCCGTTCATTACCCGAGCGCCTCTTTGAGCTCGTGAGATGCGGCCGACCAGTGGAGCTGGAGTCATCGTCCCCATCCCTCCCTCTCCCTCTCCCTCTCCCCTCTTCCCACTTGATACCAATAGATTTCCTGCCATGGTCTATTCCATCAAGATCAATATGCAGATGGAGATTGTGGGCTCATGGGCGTGTGCGCCAGGTGATTGATCCTTGCCCCTGGTCGGAACTGGCCGTCCCTCCCGCCCCCTCCCGCCCCCTCCCGCCACTCCCGCCCACTCCCGCCACTCCCAACCCCTGACACCTCGTAGACGACGTCATTGGCAGTGGTAGGCACGCCACTCTGTGAAGAGGACCGGGGACCCAACATGGCGCCGCGGACACCAGAGCAGATTGTGATGATGCGTCACTTCTGTACGTGGAGAGATAGATAGATAGAGAGAGAGGGGGGTTCATGGCTGGCTGTGGCTGTGGGTGGTGGTGGCTGTGGCTGTGGGTGGTGGTGGTGGCTGTGGCTGTGGGTGGTGGCTGTGGGCGTGGGTCTGTGTTCTTCGCCTTTTGCAACACCGTTGGGGGGGGGGGGGGGGAACC